GAATCTTTAATTATAAGTAAATATATTTGAAATAAAATTTTTTAACAGTTTGGATACGTTACAAATTCTTTTACTTGTATTTTCTTATAAAATGCTGTTGTAAATAAAGAAATGTACATTTTTTATCCTCATCATCTCTGTGTTAATATGTTTTAAATTTGCTTGTAAACAATTTCGAATATATAGTAAAGTTTTTTTTTAACTTGTGTCTTCTGTCTAAGTGCCGATCTAAACAATACTTCTTATTGCATATTAGTTAGAGGAAAATATAATTAAAATTAACTTATTTGAGTTCATTAAAAGATCTTTTACTGTATTTTCTGCATAAGTTTTGATATAAATAACAACAGATTTTTAACATTATACTATTAGCTTCATGCTAATGTATTTAAAATTTCTAAAACATTTAAAATATTCTTCACATTTCTTTCGACCCTATATGCTGTATGTAAATAAAAAAAGTATATATCCATTGCATCGTTAGCTTCATGCGAATATATTTGAAATAAACTTCAAACAATTACGACAAATATCAAATGAATTTTTATCGATAGATTCATGAAAATTGATTTTATTACGTCTCTGAATACATAAAAATGTACGACAAATACTAAAATTATAGTTATAACTTGACGTCAAAAATAATTGCATCATTTTCAACCTGTTTTTACCAGTTTAGTTTATTAAAAGTTGATTAAATTCAATATGTTTATTTTTATGCGTATATATTTTTATGTTTATACTTTCTCCTGCCATAAAAAATCTGAAAACAAACTTCTTAAACAATTAGTATTATTTGTACATTTGACAAAAACATTATTTTGAATTGTACTATTTTCAATGTTTACTTCTTTAATAGTTTTTTTTAATCAATAAATAGCTTCATTTTTATGCTATAATGTCATTTCAATAAGTTGACCCTTGCTTGCAATTGAATTTTCATAATTAGAGAGATAGAATATCACGAAAAAAAAAACTAAAACATGTGATCATTAAGAAAATATTGACTTACAAATAATTTTTATTTGACATAACAGGTATCTTTCATAAAGTATTGTTCAAAATTTCCATATTACTTTTGTTATACCAAATTCGTGTAATGCCAAAAGTGATCAAGTTATTATTTTTGTGAAAAGGTTTGATATTAAAACAAAATTGAAGGAAAAATTATGAAGTGTTACTTCAGTTAAAGATTTTGATTAACTTATAATTTAAAAATACTTTTTTTGATTCAGTGATTCCGATATGGTATCATAATTATGCGATTCTCTAAGATATCACAAAAAAAAAACAGAAATGTACATAATTTAATTAAATTTTCACAATGTTTAACTAAAATAACTTCAAATTAGTTGTAAGTGATAAATTTAATCACTTATAATAAAACATAGCATTTGAAAATATAATTTGATTTATTTATATTTTGTACGATATCAGGTTAAGTGTATCTAAAATATTATTGAAAACCAAAATTTCAATATTGTTGTGATTGACTTTATGGAGAGAATATGGAGAGATTGTTTTCTATTTAAAAATAAAGTGAAATAGAATCCATTTTCAATAGAGACAAATAAATTTCAATCATATTGATCATTCATTTTTGTTTACTAAATTTAAACAAGGTGGACTATGATTAGATAGATTTTTGTTTACTTAAAATAAATTGAGATTGATTTCAACAACCATTTAAGAAGAAAAGATTGTTTTTGATTCATTTATTATAAAGACAGATCGGTTTTTATTTACTAAATATAAGTAGGTTTATTTTGATTCACTTCTAATAAAGGGAGATGGGTTTTATTTATCGAATTTAAGTAAAGGTTGATTGTTATTCACTTCTAATACTGATTGATTTTATTCAGCAAATTCAAAAAAGGTTTATTTCGATCCACGTATAATAAAGAGAGATAGGTTTTTTATTTACTACTTAATTTTTATAAAGGTTATATAATCCATCTCTTTTAGAAGAAAGATTGATTCAATAAAGAAAGATTGATTTTTATTTACTAAATATAAGTAGATTGATTTTGAATTGCTTCAAATAAAGAGAGATTGGTTTTTATTTTCGAAATTTAAATAAAGGGTGATTTTGATTCATTTATAATTAAGAGTGTTTTGTTTTGATTTACTAAACTTAAATAAAGTTTAATTTTGGTTAACTTGTAATAAAGAGAGATTGAATTTTATTTCATAAATTTAAGTAAAGCTTTATTTTGATTACCTTACAGTACAAGTAGATTTTTATTTGGTTAAAATAAATAGAAATTGATCGGAAAAATTAGAGATTGATTTTGCTTAACTTATGAAAAAGATAGAGTTTTACTCTCTTGAATATAGAAGCGATTGATTTTGAATCGTTATAATAAAAATTGATTTTGAACTATTTATACTAAAATGAGATTACTTATAGTATCTTAAAATAAGGAGAGATTGGCTTATTATGGGAGATTTTAATGAATAAAATTTTAATTTTTATTTACTTATGATTAAAAGAGCTTCAGTTTGTTCCTCTAACAGTAAATATTTGTGTTCTAGTCTAATAACGATAATTTTATTACTCACAGTGTAATAAAGAGTGCTTTATTCATTAGATAACTCTGATATTGTACAAAGGCAACTCATCTATGAAAATTTAAAAATGTATGATTTTAATTCAGGATTTGATTAACTTACAGTAGAAAAGTTTTGCTTAAAAATTTTCCATATATTTTATTCATTTCAATGTGATAAATATACGTCACCAAGAATTAATTTTTTTAAAGGTTTATAAAAAAAAATTATGAAATAAAGCAATGTTATTTTAATAAGTAGTTGTTGTGATTTTCATTCGCTTATATTGGATTCATTGTTAGTTGTTACTAATTTGAATTTTGCAACAATTTGTAATTTAAATTGATTCTAAATTATGTTGATAAAAAAAAATGTTTACATAAAGATTCTATGCATTTAAGTCTTAGAAAACGATATTTTTAGGGGCTGAAAAGATTATTCAAGTTCAGGAAATGATAGTTTTTAGAATTTTCTAGGAATGCGTAATTTTTATCGTAAAATATTTCGCTAAGAGCGCTCCATTCTTTTCTTTATAAGGGGGTTGATGTCGCAGAGAAGAGAACCAGATGCGTACGCATTCACACAGGGGTGGCGCTTCCATCGAATTCTTTATCTGATCCTCTCCCACCCCTTACAACTCCATCATTTATTTCTTTTTTTGTTCTCTTTTTTTTTATTCGAGAACATCTCTTCCCCATCTTTAATTCTGCTCCATACCGTCTTATTTCACTGCCCAACCATACCAAAAGACAGTACAAGAGAAAGAAGGGGCGCCGGCGGAGGGGTGGAGGCGCCCCAGTGTGCAGGGGCCGAAAACTTTAGGGGGCGATGGGATGGAAGAAGATGGAGTAGAGGGGGAGGAGAAGATTCGGGGAGTGGAAAGGGGAGCCTCGTCCTTCAAACGACCCGAGCTTCATATCCGAACAACACGGAATGTATCCGAATATTATTTCTCTCCGGAATCGCTTTTCCGGAAATATTTCCTGGAAAATCCTGGATCGGATAAAATAGGATGGGAGGGGAATTTTTATTATGTCAGGGGCTTGGAATACCCCACCATGAAGCAAAGTTATTCCATAGATGAAAGATAAAATTCCGGTCGATACTCAACCGAGACATCACGAGAGTGGTAACATGGACGATCCGCCAAATGATAAATAGATTTTTGCATTCAAACGATGAAAAAAAAAATTCTAGAACAAAATATTTTAAATTTCAAAATAATCTCAGTTAAATTAGGTTTTGATCCAAAGTTAATATCTATTACATAATATCATATATGAAATGGTATAAATGGGATTCGTATGAATATAAGTTTCTTAACACATAATTTTAGATTTTTAAAATTTGTTTGGAAAAAATCAACATACAAGTTAATTGTTTTGTTAACTTAAGCAACGTTTGTTAAGAATTTTTAATCCTAGAACGGACTATTTTACTCCCTTATGTAATAAGTTGCAGTAAATAGTCACAGTAGCACTCCTAAAAAAATCGAAATGTAAACTCGAAATTGTAAACTTTGCTTTTTATATTCTTTTAGAAGAGATATAGAAACTTAAAAGTTTTATATTTTATTTACTTTCCTCCTATTTCTATCGTACTAGAAAGAACATTTTGATCAATAATTTGCTCTTCACGAACGAGACAAAAAAAACACTAATCATACATTTTAAGGATATGAATAGTTAGTGACTAAAAAAGAATATCTGAGATATTTTTAATTATTGTTTTGATGAAAAGAAGTGTATCAAAAATTTGTAGTAAATTTATTTATTTTCAACAACTACCCTTATCTACAAAACAGTTACATATTTATTAAAATTATTTATCTATCTATTTTCATGAAATTGCTGCTATTACTATGAGATCCAAGTGGTAAAAATTACAACAAACTTTATCTATTGCTTGAATATATCTACAGATATAGTTATGGTTAGTTAAAAGGTAATTTTTCAAAAGTCATGTGATATAATGTGACTACCTACTGATTTCTCTCGCATATACATTAATGAAAGCCAGAATCAGTGAAGCGCTTATGTTACTGATACAATTGTGATAGAAACATTTTGAACTCTCCAGTTATACTATCCCTAAAACGGGCTTGAACGTCACATTTCTTCTCCAAAACACAAAAAATAATATTTATTTTAATTAATTTATACGCAAAGAAACCATTGCTTTTTAAATTTAACTTATAATAACAACTTTTCAGATCCTTTGCTCGAATAACAGTTACAAATCCATATCCTCTTTTAGGAAACTCTCCTTAAGGAATCGAGGCACTTTTTTTAATGGTATTCAATGTAAGAGACACATAAAATCACATTTTTATATGCCTATAGGACTTCAAATTTTATGTAATAGATTAACACTTATGGGACTTAAAAGACACATTGAACAATAGAAAGGAATGGTTTATTAAGTAGAGTATAAAGAGGGATTCCACTCACCGCACAGTCTCGGCACATCCAGGAGACAGAGTAGGCGTTCTCGCAGTCGTACCTGTCAAGTAGTTGGCGGAATCGGCAGACCTCCCTTTGCGCCTTGTTGTCCAGTTCACGTAGTAGGTCGAGGGCCCGGGCGTCACAGGAGTTTTTATTTATGAGACGGGCCAACTCGTAGGCGTTGCAGAAGCGGAGGCGCACGTGTTGGGATTGGGGCCCACAAGCGTCCCAAGGCCCCACGTCCTCGTCCAAATAAAGGCACTGTCGGAAGGTCCTGAACGGTGTTGACCGGGCAGCAGCGATTCGGCGGCACAGAAGAAGCAGGATCAGAGCAGCGATACACTCTATGCGAAGACTCCCATGCTCAAATCTCATAGTTCATTGGAATAGGAACTAGGGGCAGGGGAGCGGGGACAATAGTCCGGATCGGGGCACCCGTCCACATAGCAGGCGGGGGCCCCGGCTAGCGGCGGCCGCCGGGGGGGCCCCCCACCTGCGCGACCGCCTCCGTGGATCTCCTGCAGAGCCGAGAGGCGATCATACTCCGGTAGGAAGAACAGGGCCCGCCATCTTTGATGGGGGTCGAAGCTGATGGTGCCCGAATAGTGGAGGGCGCATGCCCCTCCCGGTAGCGGCGGCCCTCTTTTAAGGGCCCCCTCGTCTATCCTGGCTTTGCGAATCCATGGGGAGCCTCACAAGATGGCGATCGCTTATCCCGGATATTTTCTCCCGACGAGTGATTCCGACTCACTTCGGCCGTTCTCTCCTCTCTACTGTGGCCGCAGGCGCAGGCGCACACTATCGGTGCAGAAGGATGCGGATCCTCCCTCAGATCGTTTTCAGATCCTCGTCCACCCCTTCTATGAGGGACGTGGCCGCTGCGACCTTTTGACCCACCTGCTTTCAGCAAGACATCCAGAGAATGTCAAAAAAATACATCCACTGACCACACTCTTCAGCATCCCTCTTCTTTCATTTCAACTTCATCTCGGTGCTCCCAACAAATGATCCATCTTTCATCCCAATACAACTTTACAACTCATTTGCAATCTGACGCGCATGTCCTTTTCTCTCCGATGTACCACGTGGATTGGGGGGATCCTTACTTAATTGTGTAACTCTCTTTCACTTTTTTTTATCTTTAGATTTTCAACGGAAAAGAAATATTTGGATTACATTTAAAGCACATCATTCTTTATACATTTTTAGTAGTTTTCTAGAAAGATTTTATAATTTATTTTTCATTTTGAAAAAAAAAATAAATAAATTATTTTATTTGATACAAATTTTAAAATAAAGAATATTTAGAATGGAAATTCTTATTTGTTGGTTCTACAAAAAGTAGTTCCCAGTTCAAAATTATATCTTTAATTATTAAAATATGGTTCTAAAAAATAGCAATTCTCTGTTTAAAATCATATCTTCAATTAATAAAATAAATATTAAGTAAGCATTAGGGAATGTATAATGGTGATAAAAAATGAACTGAAAACAAAATTTCAATTCAATAAAAATATTTTTTTTTCATAATTTCGCCGAATATTTTTATTTAATAAAAAAATCTCGGGCCAGAAATTGTCAAGTGGAGTAAGAATTCTGTTTAAAACTTAATATTTTATAATTTAGTCTTAATTTAAAGAATAAGAAAAATAAATTATTTTATTATATACAAAATTTGAAATCTAGAATATTCAAAATTGAAATTCTCGATATTGGTTATGAAAAAAAATCATTTGGTTAGAAAATATTCTAACTATTTTCATTACTGAATTAATTGAGACATCAACATTCGGGACCATATTACATTGTTACGAAAAAAGAGACATCCTCAGAAACATAATTTTAATTAAACAAATTTTTTGTTTTTATGATTTCATATTTCAAATTAAACATTTTTACTGAACTGTTTTATTTTGTAAAGCCAATATCATGCTTGATATCAAGTAGGTGTATTGTATTCTCTATTGATAAACAAATTATTTAACTACGCAAAAAATTTTAATTCATAATTTCATTTTCTTAAAGCTTAAATAACTTAAAATGTATCTCAAAACTATACCTTAAAAAATACTCGTTTGTCGATAATTCATAAAAACAAACGTTCAGTACATTTTTCAGTTCAGAAAAGAGAAATATTTTTTCACAATTTCATATTTGAAGTAAAATATGCCCAAACTTGATGATTTTAAGTTTTACTTGCAAATTTAAGTTTAAAAAATACAGAGTGCTTCGTATTGATTACTTTTAGCAAATATTTAAAACTTTTTTGTAGAAAGAAAACTTTGTGTTGATTAAATAAAGCATTTTAGTATAGGCTTTTTAGTACATTTAATTTTAGATCCTGATTGATTTTGAAATTTTTTTATCAAATTGCATTTTTTCTCATCAATTAAGATTTTGAAATCAGTTTTATATTCGTAAATCAATTAGTTAAAACTGAATAACTATTTTTAAAAAAATCAAACGTTCGAAAAATAGTTCACTTTTAATCATCAGTTAGAAACATAATCTGGAGTAGAATTTTCAGCTCCGTAAGAAAATGGTTTATAAGTAGAATTAAGAATTAATATTTTATTAATTGTAAGGTTAAATTGCAATTTGCAATAAAAGGTTTATGGTCAATTCCAGAAATATATCAATCAGTTAAAGTCAGATGATACGTAATCATTGCTTTAATTATATGTTTTATTCACAAATAAAAATATTGTAAAGTGCAATTTGTAATAGAAAGTTTACTGTCAATCTCAGAAAAATGTCAATTAATTAAAGTCAATTTATACATAATAATCGTTTTAATTATATGTTTTATTCACAAATAAAAATGTAAGTTAAACTGCAATTCGTAATGGAAAGTTTATTGTCAATCCAGAAAAATATCAATTAGTTAAAGTCAGATGATACATAATAATCGTTTTAATTATATGTTTTATTCACAAATGAAAATTTTCACATGCATGTAATTCTCTTTCGGTATTAATTTTAAGTTTTTTTTCCCAAATAAAAACTATATCTCGTATTGATGATAACCTTTATTCACAAATAAAAATTGTTTTTTCCATTTAATTCAGGGCTGGCAAGTTTTTGACTATTGACGTTTTTATCCGGCTTCAACTATGGTTTTAAACATCTTGTCAAAAAGCTCTTTTTGATATAGTTTTTGACAATTGTTAAAAACCCAAACCTTTTGGTATAAAAAAGGAGTTTTTCCCGAAATATTGCCATACAGTTGGAAGAGCAACATTATCCAGAATGCCCCCATACATTTTATAGTTCATGCTGCCAACCACATGAAAAAAACTCCCACACTTTGGTGGGTTTAATTTTATATTTTATAACCGTCGTTGAACAACCGACCTAATTTTTGGGTTCATGATACTAATGTTCAACTCCGTATCCTTGTAATTTTGAACAAAATCCAGAAGACAAGGGAACTCTTGCACCAAGTATTGGGAGAAATTTACTTTTAATGGAACTAACCAGCATTTGCGTTACTTGGAGAGGAAGAGCACGAGAACCTCCTATGGTTAGCTTGACAGCAAGAGGATTCTAACTCATAATCAGTCTGATAGTGAATCTACCACTGAGGATATTTCACGTCAGCATTGTGGTCGGATGCGGGATTCGTATCGACGAGTCATTGCTTGTGATTCGAATCCAGTTCACCTCATTGGAAAGCTCGTTGGTAGCGAATATAAATTGAGATAAATTTCTTCTCACTATAATTTTGTTCACATACTATAGTACGCCTAAGGTCCTTTTGGTATCGCAATTTTCAGTATCTTGGTCTAGAGCAGGGGTGTCAAACTCGCGGCCCGCGGGCCGCATGCCGCCCGAGATGAGCATTTTTGTGGCCCAGTCAGTATGCAAAGTAAAAATAAATTAGAAATGTGAATTAGAAAGGAAACTAGCATATGAAATTATAATATACTTCATTTATAAACTATACGGATCATTTTAAATTGTACGCTCGAAAATGTGAAATTTTAATTGGCTTGCGGCACCTGCCATTCCAGGGATACTGCATCGTATCAAAAATACGCAGAAAAAATTTCAAATCTCAAAACGGAATTTGAAACAAGGTTCAAAGATTTTAATTCCTCGGAAAACAAATTTTGTTTGTTTTCGGCGATTTTCTCAATAAATATAGACTAGTAGTATGCAAATAGAAGTGATTGAGATTCAGTGCGACTCAAATCTGANACGTATTTGTTTGCTTAAAATTGAAGTTTTAATTCCATTTTAATACCACTGGGAAAAATGATAAGGGAAGGGATTAAAAGTTGGCAGGTATGTACTATAGTACGCCTAAGGTCCTATTGGTATCGCAATTTTCAGTATCTTGGTCTAGAGCAGGGGTGTCAAACTCGCGGCCCGAGATGAGCATTTTTGTGGCCCAGTCAATATATCCGACGCAAAGCAAAAATAAATTAGAAATGTGAATTAGAAAGGAAACTAGCATATGAAATTATAATATACTTTATTTATAAACTATACGGATCATTTTAAATTGTACGCTCGAAAATGTAAAATTCTAATTGGCTTGCGGCACCTGCCATTCCAGGGATACTGCATCGTATCAAAAATACGCAGAAAAAATTTCAAATCCCAGAACGGAATTTGAAACAAGGTTTAAAGATTTTAATTCCTCGGAAAACAAATTTTGTTTGTTTTCGTCGATTTTCTCAATAAATATAGACTAGTAGTATGCAAATAGAAATGATTGAGATTCAGTGCGACTCAAATCTGATGCCTGAATTTGATGAGTGGTTATGCCTGAATTTTACAAATATTTACCGGCAAGGTTTGAAAATACTCGAAAATTTGCATATGAAATTATTTCCATTTTTGGAAGTACTTATCAGTTCAAGCAATTATTATATTAACGAGCAATTATTATATTAACATTGATTTTTTTTTGCGGCAGTTAAGCATTGTTTATTTGGCCCAAGTTAGCTTTTGAATTTGACACCCCTGGTCTAGAGCATGAAAGAACATGGTTAGCCAGAATTAGTTATGGAGTACTATAAGAGGATATTCTTGCCTCCCACAATTACTATAAGGCCACGAACTACTGCAATTTTTAGTCTTTTGAATTAAAACTTTAAAGAACTTAGTTACTTGTTATAGTTCAAACTTAAAAGTTCAGCTTAAACTTAAAACTTTAAAGAATATACTTAGTCTGAATTATTACTTAGTTCTGAAGCTTTTTTTTCATGCCTCTTGGTCTAAAGCTTTAAAAAACCTAGTTTTACGTTAGTCTAAACTATAACTTATCTAGTTAGTACTTAATTAGTAAGAACACTGTTAGTCTCGACTAGAACTAAATTATGGAATGCCCAAAAGGAATCTTATTTTTCTACTGCAATTTTTAGTATCTTATTCTGAAACATTAAAAACTTAGCCTGAACTAGAACTCAATGAATCAAAAATGTAGCTTAGTTATGAAGTATCAAAGGTCTTATTGTCTTTTTCTGGCACCATAAAATCCCTTAACTATTAAAATTTTTAAACTTTCGATTTAAATTTTTAAAGAACTTAGTTACTCGTTGTAATATGAACTAAAATCTGTTAGCCTCAATTAGAACACTTACAGTCCATGACAAAATTATTAAGACGCACTCTAAGATTCTATTTAAAATCGTAATTATCAGTTGATACTCTATACAACTTTTATTGTGACTTTTTGCACTTGTTTACGTTCGTGTATCAATGGGTTAAATGAGACGATATATAATATAAATTCGACAATAGGATACATTACACGATAGCTTATACAAATATAGAATTACATACTATACAACTTTTATTGTGACTGTTTGCACTTGTTTACGTTCGTGTATCAATGGGTTAAATGAGACGATATATAATATAAATTCGACAATAGGATACATAACACGATAGCTTATACAAATATAGAATTACATCAAGCATTATATTAGTATATTATAATAATTATACTAAATTATTAAACGCACTGAAATCTTTTAATAATCACACGTTTTGCACGAGTTTAAAGGCTTTTATATTTACACATACATGATGTAATGGGTTTTTTATTCGGGA